TCGCTCAAATGCGACAAACTAATCATCCAGTTCATCCACATTTAAAGTAAATTTAACTCGAAGCAGTTACTCCGGCAGGCCACAGAAATCATGGTTTCATATCAAAAGCGAGGCCATTAACCAATTCATACTTATAAGGGTACTATTTTAGTAATAAGGTCCGGTCGCACGACCAAAGCGATCAAATCGCGAAGTACAAACGAACTCTAATGTGAGAAATTCGTTGCAATAGTGATTGTAAACCAGGATGATGTGGAGCGTAGTGGGCAACCCTGCAAGTGGACCGATTCCCCGGCGCAAAAAGGGTTCCAACCTTGCGGTAACTAGGTTACCTCGGAGAATTGCTTGAAACCTCCGCCTTATTAGCCTTTAAAAAACACATTAAGAGCATCATATAAATTCAGGCCACAACAAACCTCGGTGAATTTCAACACATATCCCGGAGTTGGCGTGACAGACCATGCTTCCGGTGAACTCTCGACCTTCAAGTTCATATCTGAAAAAAAGGAAGCGCATCCTTCCTAATATTTCATGTCAAAACATTTCTCGATAGGCACATAAAATTATAAAAATAACCTCAGAGCTAAACTACTTTGATCAGAGATAGGCTCGACACCGTATTAACCCTTTATTAACCAATCGATAGAATGCACAATACACATAATTTATAATAAAATTTTGTATCGAATAACAATTAAATAAGCAAGGCAACAAGATTATACCCACAGATCACAATTAAACATGAATGAGACTATTAGAAGGAATTTGCTCTGAGAGGAGAAGTAGATATCAACAGAACGAACCAAGAATTTGTAAGCCTGAAGCATGGTGATGATAGAAATCCGAAACTAAAAGCCACTGAAAGTTTATCGCTTCTAAATAAGATTCGGAATATAAATATGTTGACCCCGCCCCTTCAGCAGATCATTATCATGTAATGTCGCTTATAAATTGTTCATTTCTAAAATTCTGTAGCAAAAAAACCTCGACAGGCGGTCTAACACTAGCGCTAGCCCTTCCAAAAGCAAGAATATAAGTAGTTAAAGACGCTGTTCGGAAATATCTGGTAGGCGGAGCCGGGAAACGACTTTATTGAATCGCTCCTCATTCGCCCGAATTCTCTGGCGATGATGGGAAGAGAGGTGCACCAATGCAATTGTATCCTGCCTACACCCACACCAGTACCGAGCGGTGTCTTGGAAACAGCTCAGCCCTACACCCCATTTTAAGTCCGCCTAATCAACCTGAACTTTACGAGGAATTCGACCCACGCTTCCACTACAGAACTGAAGGAAAGAACACCTACAGTTCAAAGAAGCCCACTCAAAAAATGGTCACACTCGATGTTTTAATACCTTTCACAGTGTTGGTTACCACCAATAAACTGCTATGGCATCTGTGATGGCAGCCAACAAAGAAAAAAAGCGACGAGAAGCTCAAGCAAACTACCCTACCTTGGCTGTCAAAAAATAATATACTGCACACAAAATTCAATAAAAAACGAGTCATATAAATATATGAATCAAAAATTCCTAAAGAAGGATCGCGAAACACTCAGAAGATGGCTAACAGTGCAAAAACAGAATAGAGTAAAACGCATGGATACGCTACTAGAAGGCGTTGTTGGTTCATATGGAGAGCTATAACGAATAGCTTCGAGGACGACGAGCTACACCATATAACAGCCAATGCTGACATCGAATATCCGAATGCACCCTATAAAATTGACTGAAATTATGCAAATTTCGGAGAAATTTATGATAGCGGGGCATTGCGAATACTGCAGCGACGCGAAAAAGTCGCATGAACTTGTGTTCATTCTTCCTTTCGCCTTGCCTCACTGCCTGCGTGGAAACAGTGGGCGGTACATACTAGGAACTTCCCCATCATGAAAATAAAGAAAACGAGACAGGAAACGGAAAGTGGTGGGAGGGGGAAAATCGTATCTGGCTGAAAGGAGGAAGTCGTATTTGCCTTCGTGAAAATGTTTTCGGCTTTTACTTTCCTGTTTTCCTATTTCAGGTGCGCTACTTAACTCCGCCCGTCCGCCCCCACCCCCTAGCTCCGCGAGTATTCCGGGAAAAGAAATTCGGAAAAGAGGTCAGGAGTTGGGAGAATTCACGGAAACCGTAGGAGGACAGGGATGGGTACGGAAGGGGTCCTGCCTGCGAAATAACTTCTGAGGGGGTCGTATTCTCCAAAATTTCTCCCCAGCGGCAAGACGTGTCCTGATGGCCATACCTCCGGATAATGCTCGTTTTGAGTAACAGTGACAAACCCTCAGGCATGCTGATGTTGCAGCAACCTATATTTCTGTATCTGCTGTAATCGTTCAGAAAATAAAAAAAAATCCAAAGAAATATCAACTAACCTTGAACGAGAGCACTGCTGTAACCAGGCTGAGAAGCGCCATGGGAAGCAAGCAGTAACCCAACACAGAAGCTGTGCACGTGAATGAGATCGTCTTCTCCGCTGAAATAACTTCGCTTTGTTCCACGCAAAAGTAAATCATAAATATGAATAACGAATACAGCCAGAAAAACACCTGTTAATGACTCCTCGCTCCGTTCATAAGCTTAGTTTGATCAATTACGCTTTGAAAAGATTTTCTATTTTTTTTAATTGATGAAAGTTGATTTTTCTGTTCTTTTCTTGGATTGATGAAAATAACATACAAACGGGCAGGAGGTGGTGTAGTG